CATGCCCATAATCCCAGTTACTCAGGAGACTGAGACAGGAGGATTGTATGTTCAAGGCCAGCCTGGACAATTTAGAGGAAACTCTGTCTCAAAATCTTCTAGAAAGGGCTGGGGACATAGCTCAGTGATAGGGTGCTTGCCTAGCATGTGCAAAGCCCTGGGTTTGATCCCTAATACTATAAAAAGAGAGAGAAGAAATAAACACAAAACTATTTTTAAAAATTATGCCAAATGTCTGTGCATGAACTACTTAAAACTATTTTTCTACTAAAAGTAATCTGCAGAACAGCAGAGCCATGTGGAACACAATTTGAGTGACACTGAATTTGAGAATAAGTGGTCCTGTTCTTTCACACACACACACACACACACACACACACACACACACACACACAGCATTACCCTCCCATTCTATAAACTTTTCTGTGTTGCTACACTGAAGTTCCCAGACATTTATATCTAATAGACATAGTTTTTCCAAATCTTCTATCCTTGGTGAGATAAGGGAAACGAAATGGCTTCTTCAATTACTTCATTTCTCATGAGTTTTTCTAAATTGTATTGCTAACAAGAAAAATGCTATAGTGCTAATAAATAAATAAATAAATAAACAAGTCCATACTATAGCATCACATTGTTTTTCAGAATTCTCCTGGGGTGGGGGGGGGGGGGCACTACCAAAAACACTATAAAAAAAAAGTACTGGAATGCAAGCCTTTGGTTCTTGGAAACCTGAAGTATCTTTTATATGGTTTCACTTTCTGAATGGCACTTTTTCTCCCCTCTAAACATGCATATTCCCATTGTAGGTCTACGTTAAGTTTAACAAGTGACCTTGTTTCTTTGAAGTTTTTCAGTCTTTGCTTATATCCCAGAAAACAATTACTGTTATTTATAACTCAGAAATGGAGACTTACATTTATTATTATTATTATTAGTAGTAGTAGTAGTAGTAGTAGTAGTAGTAGTAGTAGTAGTAATAGTGATGGGGATTGAACCCAGGGCCTTGGGCTTGTGAGACAAGCACTTTACCAACTGAGCTATACCCCCAACCCCAATTTATTAGACATCAGCTATAATAAGCAAAAGTGATTCAAATTATTGTGCAAGCATCATGTCTTTATATGATTTTTTAATAAATGGCTTTCAGTTCTTAAAATCATTGAATCTTAAACCTAGAAGACACTTCAATAATTATATACTCCAATGTAAGTTTTTCAAAATCAACATTATAAATACAGTTTGTTATCATTAAAGATAATGGGTGGCAGGGGCTGGGGTTGTAGCTCAGTGGTAGAACACTTGCCTAGCATGCGTAGGGCACTGGGTTCAATCCAAAGCACCACATAAAAAAATAAAATAAAGGTATTGTGTCCATCTACAACTAAATCTTTTTTAAAACAAAGATAATTTGGAAAATAAAAAACAGATCCAAAAAATTATGCCTAGTTCCATTAGCAATAAAATTACGTAGACTACTATGTGTTACTTCTTCCAGCCTACTTTCTATGCAAAGGTGACTTCATTTTTAAAATATAAAAACATTAAATTATGCTGGAGATACAAAATCATGTATTGATTTTTCACTTAATTTTATAGCATAATCATTTTTTAAAGAGAAAGAGAGAGAGAATTTTTTAATATTTATTTTTTAGTTTTCAGCAGACACAACATCTTTGTTTGTATGTGGTGCTAAGGATCGAACCCGGGCTGCAGGCAAGCCAGGCAAGTGCGCTACCGCTTGAGCTACATCCCCAGCCCCGCATAATCATTTTTTACACTATGGTGTAATATTCACAAATAGTACTTTACATAAATTTGCAAAATACCTCACTTAATGCTATATATAAACTACGTAAACATTCTTCTTTAATTGATATTTAATCATACATTAATTGTTGATGATCATAAATTACACTGAAGTTAATAAATGATCTTGCTTATGCTATGTCATTTACATTATGTATTTTATTTTGTATAGCTGCTATATTTTTCTTCACTCTACAAATAGAATAAAAATTAAATTTTAGTCCAACCTTGTAAATTCCATCAAGTCAATTTAAATAATTTAAGTAGTTGTATTTGGATGACTTTAGATTTTAGATCTTCTTCAAATCTACTATTGTTTCTAAAAAGTCTTTAGGGTTTACTTTTCCTCCTGGCATTAGGCAAAGAATATGGAGTCCACAAGATGGTGTTGGTCTGTCTTCATCTCTAGGCTATGTATTTGTTAATTAGCTTGATTTAATTATTCCACAAAATAAATATGTATCAAAACATCACATTGTGCTTAATAAACAAATAATATATGCAATTATTATTTGTCAGCTAAAATTAAAAAATAATACAGTAAAAGGAATTATAGGAATTTTTATTTTTTATTAGTACATTATAACTATACAGAATAAGGAAATTAATTATGCTGAATTATAAAAATTTGTAAAAGTTTTTTCCTTCAAAACTATATTGATGTGATGGGCACAGTGGCACATGCATGTAATCCCAGCAGCTCAGAAGGCTGAGGCAGGAGAATTGCAAGTTCAAAGCCAGCCTCAGCAAAAGTGAGGCACTAAGCAACTCAGTGAGACCCTGTCTCTAAATAAAATACAAAAAAGGGCTGGGGATGTGGCTCAGTGGTCAAGTGCCCCTGAGTTCAATTCTTAGTCCCCCTTCTAAGAATAAAATATATATATATATATATATATATATATATATATATATATATATATAGAGAGAGAGAGAGAGAGAGAGAGAGAGATGCATTTGCAAATATGTCAAAATGACTCTACCATTATGTATAATATAATGCACAAAAAATCAAATCAAATATATTGATGTGTTTTCCTTTTTTGTATTTATATTATGTAACTTTTCCTTTATTTGTGGGGGAAAGCTTGCAAAATAGCCAGATTTCCAGCAACATTCATTGAGAGAGAGAAAGACAGAGACAGAGAAAGACACAGAGAGGAGGCACCAAAATAAAAGGGATAAATGAAAAAGAAGCACCAACATTATAAAGATAATTAACACCCAGCAACTTTAACAAGTTAGGCAAAATGGAAAAATTCCTAGGAAAGTATAACTTGCCAGAATTGATTTGAGAACATATTATAAGCATGGATAGTTCCATTAATATTAAAGAAATTAAAGCACTAATTTAAAATCTTCCTTTAAAGCAAACATCAAGCTCAGAACAGATCATGCTAATCTCATTCAAATTTTCCCAAGAGGATATGAGAAGAAAAAGGATTTCTCCCCACAATTAACCTTGCTAATCTATGATATCAAAACAACATAAAGACTGGGGATGTGGCACAGTGGTAAAGCACATGCTCAGCATGCATGAGGCCCTGGGTTCAATCCCCAGCTCTACAAAATTAAATAAACAAACAACTACTTTAAATCTACATAAAAAATTACAATAAAGGAGCATAACAAACTTATTTCACCCATCGATGAAGGCTTAATAATTTTAAGTGAAAAGCAGTCATACGTCTATACATCAGTAACAAATTAGTAAAGAATGTTTTTTTCAGAATAGCTATCTTTATAATAACCAAAAAACTGGAACCCACCCAAATATCCATTAACAGTAGAATAGATAAATAAATTGTGAATTTAATTTAAAAGAACAAGTAGAATTTAATTTAAAAGAACACACCAGGAAAAAGTTTCTTGGCATTGTCTTGGCAACAAATTTTTCTATATAACCACAAAAGCACACAAGACAAATGCAAAATAGACAAGTAGATAGACAGAGATAGATAAGTTGGATTGATAGATTAGATAGACAGGAATCATCTTTGATAAAGAAAATCAACATTGGGCATGGTGGTGCAGGCCTGTCATCCCAGTGGCTTGGGAGGCTGAGGCAGGAGGATCACGAGTTCAAAGCCAGCCTCAGCAAAAGCGAGGCACTAAGCAACTCAGTGAGACCCTGTCTCTAAATAGACATACAAAAAAGGCTGGGGATGTTGCTCAGTGGCCAAATGCACCTGAGTTCAATCCCTGGTACCCCTACCCAAAACAAAACAAAACAAAAAAATAATTATCTGATTTTTATATTAATGGTCTCTTACTTTGACCACTAGTTGTAGTATCCAACACGGCCAAACATATTAATCCATTTGACAAATATTAATTGGATGCCTACTATGTGCCAAAAATGTTTGGAATATGGAGAAGCACATGAAGGAAAATATAAAAATAAGTACTATATCAAGCAAAACACTGCAAAGGAAAATTAAGCAATATAATTAAAAATGAGAAAGTCATTCTTAGCTCTAGGAGTTTGAAACAGGCAGCAAAATAGGTTTGGCCAATGGCCCATAATTTGCAAACTCTTGAGCTAGAGGAGAGAGCAGTGAAGCCACCATGGAGCTAGAGTTCTAGTGAACGAGTTTACAGAATTTGAAATTATGGGACCCTAGGGTTTGTAACATTCTTTTGAGGATACAGAAGACCCTTTACATGTTCCAGGTCAAGAATACATATAGATAAGGGAGAGGGAAATGGGGAAACTAACAATATTCATAATTTCTTTTGAAGCCTGGTACCACGATGAAAATCATACACAGAATAATGAAACTAAATGGTCTAGTGCTCACTCTGGTATTTTCCATTTAAAAAGTGTCATCTCCACTAGTAAACAATTAGGGGATTTTCATGGCTGTTTTTTGGTTGAGGATGTAGCTAAGTAATCATTAAAAAAAAGCCACAATTGCAATTTGGTACAGTTTTAATATTTACAAAGAATAGCTCTACTGATACAGAAAACAGCTACAAATGTACTTTTAAAAAATGTTTGAATTTGTCTTTCGACCCAAATATAGCAGCCTTCTGCAGTCCATTTCCCTTAAGAAGAAACAAATTGGAGGAATTTATTTGGGTAGAAAACACTATTTTTTTAAACTCTCTACCCTGAAACTTTTGGGGTTTTAGTTTTGCCGTGTTTTTTTTTTTTTTTTTTTTTTTTTTTTTCTTATTTGGATTGTCTTTTTTTCTGATTTTTATACTCCCATAAGTGGATCACAACCTTTTCTTTTTTGATCATTTTTATTTTTGCTTTGTTGCTGTGCAAACCTCTCTTTGAAACCATTATGATTTCTCTTCCCACATTCCTTCATCATGTGTAATATTAAGAGATTTCTTCTTTATTCACACCTACTTTCTATCCAACATTTGCTTTTCAGGTTTTTGACTCCCTTTTATAGCCCCCTCCAGCACATTTTCCAAATAAATCAATATAGTATTAGTATTGTTTTGGGGTAGATGAAAGAGATGGAAGCATCCTCTCTATGGATTCACATTGCTGTACTGTGAAATGTGAAGACTAGGTGTACTGATCTCAGTTGATGCCAACTGTAATAGGCGACTAATGACTAAATCCCTAGCTTTTGAGGTCTCCAGGTTCTTCTCTCTAGACACTTGAAGACTGATTTGGTCCACACTTGTCATGATGAGTTCAGATGCCAGAATCTGGGTAGGAGAACTGTCATGAAACATGGCATCCATGATGTACTGCTTATATAACTCCACCACCTTCTGCTCCAAGTACTCATTCAGCACTGCATTTGAAATAGGTTTCTGCATTTGCAGGCTGCTTTTTTCTTTGATGCTGGTTATTTTCCAATACGATGAGTACCGCTGAATAGGCTTTTGGGGAAAGTCACTGGGCTGAGTGGAAATGGAATCTTCCATGGGCAAAGGAATCTCCGATGACTTCAGCAAAGGACCACATTCAAAACTGCTCTCAGAGGGAAAATCTGTCATCACTGAGTTAACGGCCATCACTTGTCCCCCTGCAATATGTAAGTCATTGTAATTTTTGCAAATGCTTTTGCAGGAAGGTGGAACCAAGTAGGTCCCTCTATGGAGGTCTCTACATATTTCAACTGCAGCCAAGTTTGGGCTTTCAAACACCGGATTAGGGTTTGTCTGCAGCACTGTGACTCTCTGACTTCTGTTACATTGGTTTTCTCTTGAGTGCAGTGAAGAAATAAACTTGCCAGAGGATTTGCAGCTCATGTAAAGACTTCTGACTTCCTCTTCATCCACAGAGGAATAGGAAAGAGCCGCAACAGAAGTTGTCTCCTCTTCCTTTTCCCCAGCCACCTCTTCATTATAAGATGTGTGATTCCAGTAGATGTCATTCCAGTAGGCAAGTCCACTGAGATACCCTTCTGACAGCATTCTGGAAAGAGAATTGATGAGTAACAATGGGGAAAAAGAAGACTGGACTCTTTTAAGTTGGCAATTAATATATCAAAAATATAAAGGATGGCCAGGCATAGTGGCACATGCCTGTAATCCCAGTGGCTCAGGAGACTGAGGCAGGAGGATCTTGAGTTCAAAGCCAGCCTCAGCAAAAGCAATATACTAAGCAACTCAGTGAGACCCTGTCTCTAAATTAAAAAAATACAAAAAAGGGCTGGGGGTGTGGCTCAGTGGTTAAGTGCCTCTGGGTTTAATCCCCAGTACAAAAAAAAAAAAAAAAAACATGTAAAGGATGATGAATGAAATAATTTCATTCACTCACCAAGCCATTACTAATTCCATGCCTCCTGTATACCAGAACTATGGCATGTTCTGGGTATATAATGATGAAATGATACATACCAGTTCCATCCTTCAAGAAGTTTCTCACTATGCAAGAAAATAAACTAGATACAAATAATTCCAATATTATATCACTGGGGATATAATTGTGATAGGCATAAAGAAAGTCCAGAGGAGGGGACTCTAACACAACCTGGGGTAAAAGGGGAGAAGTCACAGGATATCTCACAGGGAATGTGGCATTTCAGTTGAGTGATGAAACTAAGTAGGCATTCCAGCCATTGGCACAGTTATAAGAGAATATAGTGGTACAACCTATTCACCACATACCAAGAATCTGAGCACAAGCAGAAGAGACTGGGAAAATCATCTGGAATTGTATCATGAAGGCCCTTGACAGCCAGGCAAAGGGATTTATATTCTGCCTCAGAAGGAATGGAGAGTTATTGAGAAGTTGTAGTTTGAACAGCAACATGGCTAGTGGACTATGAGAAAAATAGTGAGGAAATCTGGCAAATTCTACTAAAAACAAGAGCTGTGTCTTACTCATCTTTATATTGTATCCCTGGGAGCTGGACTGTTTTCTGTTTTGTTTTGTTTTTTTAATTTAGGAGGGACCCAAAATGTATTTGTTAACTTGAATGAAACAATGGCTGCTATGAAATCAATTCATACTCATCACATGATTCAGGATTACAGTTTCTCCTACCTTTGCAGACCGGGGTGGATTTTTTTTTCTCTACACCTTCCACTTCTCAATATATATCCTGGAAATGTCTCTGCACTCAATTGGTATGTTTACCTCTACCCTAGTTAAGCACAGAGCTTTCCTGATAGTGGGCTTTCCCTACACCTGCCTCCTCTCCCCACCCTCTGCAGTTGTCATAGAAGTCTGGAGTGGCTAAAATAGGCCAGAAACCACAGCTGCATTTTCTAAAAAAGGAACACACTGGCATTCTTGGCACTGGAGCAACCAGCCACAGTGAGGAAAACTGGTCCTCTTTGGCCTCAAGGTCTGGGCTTCTAAAAGAGATCTACCAACTTGACCCTGAAATTGACAAGTCATATTAGAAAAGAGGGATCATCTTAAAACCATATATAAAGGTCCTTTTAAAACTGTCAGCCCTTTTTTTACATTCATGTAGTTTTTATTTTCCAGGTAGATAAAATATATCCCTCCTTTTATTTATTTTTATTTTTCCCTCTCTTTTAATTCAATAAGAGTAATATATTTTCTTTTTTGCAAACATTCTAAGGTATAATCATCAAATTTATCAATTACTTAAATGTTTACTATATTCCAGGCACAATTATGTGCCATAAAGTTGCAAAGTTAAAGGTCTTCAATAAATCCATGAATAATTATTGTTTGCTAAACGCACTTACAAAGAAAATGTTGTTCTTTTCCTTAAAAAAAAAAAAGAGAGAGAGAGAGAGAAGAAAACTTTCTAAGTGCACTTCTGCCCTCAACAAACCTAACAACTGGGTGAAAAGGCAAATTTTACATACTAGAAGATAATTAACAAAGTAAAAGAGATTAGCATAAAGTCCTAATAGTGATGTAATTACTTCCCCCTCAGGTCTCTCTCCTAGGCTGTAGCTAGGGTATTGCTTTTAAGGCCTCAAAACCTCATTGTGGAAACTCAGGGCAAAATTGCACTGTTGGCTTTTGAGTTTCTAAATAAGCTTTAGAAACTCTGGACAAAAACAACAATTTTAGAGAAATGACTTGCGAGATACCATAACCTGAAGTTTTGAACTTCAAAATTCAGAACCATGAAGAATTTAGGGCATGATATTTATGCATTAACAATAGACGCAAGTGATCTGAATCTACCGTGGAAGAAAACAGCATGACTTGAGAAAGGTTTAGGGAGCCAAAAACAGATGAAGTCTGTGCATCGGGGCCATGTAGAATCTGAGCAAGCAAAAAGCCTCACAAAATTCTTTCATGTTCAACAGTGGTGCAGTGGACCACCCAAAGGACAGGCCTGAGGTCACTTCATCAAATCTTACACACAGCATGGTACTGAGAGCTTGAAAACTGGAGAATTCCTAGAATTGGGATACAAAGATTGCAGACATGATCTCCATGGAGTACTAACCAGGGGCTAGGTAAATGAATGACAAGAAGTTTCCATGTGTATCAGTGTGACTACATAGTAAAAAACAAAGATTGCCCCCACCTACTCCCATTCCTAACTGATCCTATGATTCTATATAAGCAACCTGGAACTTAGAGGTAAACTCCAGGAGGAAGTAATCCTAAAGTGATTACGGAATTCCTGATTGCCAGGGATAAATTTTCCACCTCTCCAGAGAAGGTGAGCCCCCAAAAAGATAAATTAAGGTAGAGAAAAGCAAAGATTTACAGAGAAGATAGCAGAATAGGCATATGCATGTGTTTTTTTTCCTCCTGCCCCAACCTTCACCAAAACAACAGTAAATGATGCTTGTAAAAGACATAACACATAAGAAAAGGGGAAACATGAGGTGAAACAAGAGCAATTACATTTTATATGCTGAAAAGTAGTGGACCAAGGGTTAATGTCTTAGGAGACTGGGAAAACTTACAAGAGCCATGGGAAAATACAAGTGCCAAAATGATTTAAATTCCCCTAAAGTTGAGGAATTTCTTTTTTTTTTTAAGAGAGAGAAAGAATTTTAAAATATTTATTTCTTAGTTTTCGGCGGACACAACATCTTTGTTTGTATGTGGTGCTGAGGATCGAACCCGGGCTACATGCATACCAGGTGAGCGCGCTACCACTTGAGCCACATCCCCAGCCCTGAGGAATTTCTTAACACTGCATACCTCTGGGGGTAAGGGCAAAAAGGCTATATGGTGTATCTAAAGTTTAAAAAAAAGAAATAAAAGAAAAAGAAAAAAGATTGATTGAAAGTCTATTTAAAAGGAAATCTGACACCCATACCCTGTGTCTCATTCCATGCAGCCAGGTGATCATCTGCTATCATCAACCCCAAAGAAAAACTTGAGACTTAGTCTCTGAATAATAAAAGAGGACCCCCTAGACCAGGGGATACTAGCTGAGGATAGAATTACTGAATTGATAAAAGATAGATTAAATAAATATATGAATGTTGGTGCAGAGATCCATGATCCCAGATTTTCCCTTACTCAGTTCCCAGAATGCTTGCAACAGGGTCATCCACTTTCTAGGCAGGGTATTAGAAAAAATGTTCTGAGTAATCTGACTATTATAGTTTGAGAAGAGCCATTGACATCAAAAGTTCCCCAACTCAACTGGGCAATTACCCTTCAGTTAAGCTTACAATCAATTAAGCCCATTGAGCTTTTTGGATTCCCATCCTTTAAGATGACTGGAACTTTGAAACATCTGAGGAAAGATCTGCTATGAGAGAGTCAAAAACAGCCACTTAGAGGATAAAGCTCTATAGGGGCAAAATCTGCTATTAGTATTTCCAGAGTTAAAAGATCATATCACAATCATGAATTGCAAATGGGATGTTATGAAAAAGAGATATTTCTTAATAAGAATTCTAATGCTCAAGAAACAAAATCAAGCATCAGTAAGTGAGGACTGGAGTTGTGGCTCGGTGTAGAGCTGTTGCCTAGCATGCATGAGGCCCTGGGTTTGATCCTCAGCACCACATAAAATAAATAAATAAATAAATAAAGGTATTATGTCCATCTACAAGTAAAAAAAAATATTAAAAAAAAAGAACCAATAAGAGGGGCGGCATCAAATTAAAAAGCTTTTGTACAGCAAAAAAACAAGAGTGTGAAGAGAGAACCTATAGAATGGGAGAAGGTTTTGGCTAGTTACTCTTCCAAAAGAGAAATGATATTCAGAATATATAAAGAATTAAAAAAAAAAAAAAAACTTCAACACAAGAAAAACAAAGAACTAAATAAATTGGTATATGATCTAAACAGACATTTCTTTTTTTTTTTAAAGAGAGAGTGAGAGAGATAGAGGTAGAGAGAGAGAGAATTTTAATATTTTTTTTTTTAGTATTTGGCGGACACAACATCTTTGTTTGTATGTGGTGCTGAGGATCGAACCCGGGCCGCACACATGCCAGGTGAGCGCGCTACCGCTTGAGCCACATCCCCAGCCCCCTAAACAGACATTTCTAAAAAGAAGAAATACAAATAGCCAAAAAAACTATTTAAAAAAAATGTTCCATATCCTTAGCAATCAGGAAAATGGAAATCAAAACTACAGTAAGATTTCATCTTATTCCAGTTAGAATAGCAATCATTAAGAATACAAAAATAGGGCTAGCACTGTGACTCAGTTGTAGAGCAGTTGCCTAGCATGTGTAAGGAACCCTGTTTCATTCCAACCACCACATAAAAAAATACCGAATAAACAAAATAAAGGTATAAAAAATATTTTTTATAAAAAGAATACAAAAACAGCCAGGCACGGTGGTACATGCCTGTAATCCCTGTGGCTCAGGAGGATTGTGAGTTCAAAGACACCTCAGCAAAAGCGAGGCCCTAAGCAATTTTGGAGACCCTGACTCTAAATAAAACACAAAATAGGGATGGTGATGTGGCTCAGTGGTTGAGTGCCCTTGAGTTCAATCCCTGGTACCTCTCCTTCCAAAAATTAAAAAATAATAGAAGGGATACCAGCAGAGTAG